CCGAAAGTTTGTCTTCTGGGTTTCGGTAACTCTTGTGGGTTTCGGTCAGTGCTCTCCTCCCCACAGTGCATCAACTGTCTCCTCCAAGCACCGATTGCCTCACAATGCACTAATTGCCCCCTCTTTGGTCTATTTTGTGATTATTGTGTGTCGGCTGGGTGTTTTGTGCTGTTAATGTGCATCGGTGAACTGTTCTTTGCCTTCATAGTGCATTGATTGGTTTGTGATTGATACTCTCTGGTTGTTTATTGATTTAATTTGCTGGATTGTGGCTAGGTTGTTGGATTGTTGCTATTATTGCTATTTTCTTGTTGTGGCTTTGGCTGGCTTTGGCATTCTGGACTGTTTCTTGTTGTGGTTATGACAGTCTGATAATTTGGCTTATTTGGTTTATTATTGCTGGATTTTTTGCTCTGCTGGGTTTTTTGCTTATTTGGTGGTATTGCTTCTATAGGCTGCTGAGTTTGAATTTGACTGTGGTGCGTATTGATAATTGTTACTATAATGGCAAGTGGTCACTCTGATTCACTTTAAGCGATTAGTGTGAAACTAATTGGTGAAAATTATGTATATTGGACTTATGCTATGAAAATTTTTTTGTTGGGGAAAGACTTGTGGAATTACATTAGTGGTGTTGTACAGCCTCCAACTGATACTAAGGTAGAAAAATATGCTGATTTGAAGAGTACTAGGGATATCAATAATGCAAAAATTATCACTTGGATTAATAACTCAGTTGATCAGACCATTAGGGTTCATCTATCCAAGTTTACCACTGCTAAGGAGATTTGAGATTATTTGGCCCCACTCTTTGTTCAGTCTAATTTTGTAAAGAGGTATCAACTAGAGCATGAGATTTGAGATGTGCGACAAGGGGACAAAACCATCCAAGAATTCTACTCTGTTATGACTGGCTTCTGGGATCAGTTAGCACTTACTGAACCCACTGAGTTGAGCACTAATTTGGCATATCGCACCTTCAGAGAGGAACAGAGGCTGGTGCAATTCTTGATGGCCCTTAGGGATGACTTCGAGGGACTTCGTGGTTCCATTCTTCATCGTCATCCACTCTCCTTAGTGGATGTAATTGTTAATGAGCTCTTAGCTGAAGAGGTTCGCCTTAAAACCCTTTCTGGAAAGGGTCTTCTTCCACTACCAAATCAGACTGTCTTGACTGTTCCTTCCAAAGTGGTCTCTAATTCTCAAAACAAATATCGAGGTCGAGTTGCTTCTGATGAGTGTAGTTTCTGTCGTGAAAAGGGCCACTGGAAGGCCCAATATCCAAAGTTGATGAACAAGAATGCACGAGGATCTCAAAATCAGTCATTAGAGATTGTCATACAGTGGCCGTAGCACCACCAGTGGATGAGTCAACTTCATCAGCTCCCAACCTGACTATGCTTGTAGATCAGTTACAAAAGTTTCTTTCTCTTCATCAGCCTAGTGCTCTCACAGTTTCTCCCACTATAAGTTCGTTCAGCTCAGGTCCTTTAGGTATTTCTTGAACTGCCTGAGTCTTTGACTCAGGTGCAACACATCATATGACCAGTGACTCCTCTTTGTTTGCATCTATTGTTTCTCTGTCCTTGCTGCCAATGGTTCTCACATGTCATTAGCTGGTGTTAGGACAATTATTTCTTCCAACATTATACTTTTCGATGTCTATTATATTCCTTAACTTATTTTGAATTTACTTTCAGTCAGTCAACTATTTGATTTTGAACTTTTAATTCATTTCTCTTCCTCTGGTTGTGTTGTGCAGGATCCTCGGTCCAAGAAGCTGATTGGGACTGGCCGTAGACAGGGCGGGTTATATGTGTTGGAGGAGTTGCATGTCCCAGTTGCTGATGCTGCTGCTTCTACTGTTGATTTATCTTCTTTTCGTTTGAGTCCAGAGTCATCTAGTTTTTATTTATGGCATTCTCGTCTTGGTCATGTTTCTTATTCTCGTTTAAAATTTTTAGCTTCGACTGAGAGTTTGGGTAGTTTAGAAAGCCATGACATTTCTGATTGTAGTAGATGTAAGTTGGCTAAATTTAGTGCGTTGCCATTAAATAAAAGGGTTATTTTTTCTATTGCACTATTTAATCTTGTTCACTTTGATATAGGGGGACCGGTTCCTATTCCTACACAAAGAGGGTCCAAATATTATGTTTCATTTATTGATGATTATACACGGTACTGTTGGGTATTTTTGATGAAACATCAGTCTGAATTCTTTTTTATCTTCACTACATTTCGTAACATGGTACGTACTCAATATTCTGCAGTCATTAAATGTTTTCTATGTGATCAGGGCGGTGAATATACTCTTACTTCTTTTCATGATCTGTTGAAATCTGGTGGTACACTTTATCAATCTTCTTGCACTGACACACCTGAGCAAAATGGTGTTGTCGAACGAAAACACCATCATATTCTAGAGACAGCACGTTCTCTTCTTTTATCAGCACATTTTCCCAGCTCATTTTGGGGGGAAGCAGTTTTGACTGCAGTTCATTTGATCAACACCATTCCTACTATGCTCACCTCTAGAGTCTCTCCATTTGAAAAGTTATGTGGTAAGTCACCTAACTATTTTTCTTTACATGTGTCTGGTTGTACCTGTTTTGTTTTACTTCCTAGTGTTCTTCGTACCCTAGTGGTCAAAAAGGGTATCGTTGCTATGATCCCATCACCCGCAAACTTTATGTCTCTCGTCATGTTGTTTTTATGGAGCATATTCCCTTCTTCTCAATTCCATCTAGCTCTTCCTCATTGAATAAGTCTGACCTACTATACATTGATCCCTTTCCTATCAATGTTCCTCATGATACATATGTTGGTGATATACCTGTGTCAAATCCTTCATTTTCTAAGTTAACTATTACTCGTCCCCTTATTGTGCATACATATGTTTGTAGGACTCCAGTTATCTCCTCTCCGAATGCAGTGTCTCCCTTTTCTTCTCCGGCTGCCCAATCAAGTTCAGACACTGTGGATCATACCCCACGCTATCCTCAGCGCTCTTGCAAATGTCCAGACAGGTTTGGTTGGACTAATATTTGTTATTCTTCTGACTTTTGTTCTTTCCTTACTTCTATTTATTCTTTATCTGAACCCTCCTCCTACAAGGAGGCATTACTTGATCCACTTTGAAAACAGGCTATGGATGAAGAGTTGTCTGCCTTACATAAGACCAGAGCCTGGGAGCTAGTGTCCTTATCGCCTGGTAAACGTACCATTGGTTGTAAGTGGGTTTATAAGATAAAAACTAAGTCAGATGGTTCAGTGGACGAGATATAAAGCTCGATTAGTAGCCAAGGGGTTTGCTCAGGAATATGGTCTAGATTATGATGAGACTTTTGCTCCTGTTGCCAAGATGACTACTGTTCGCACTGTGATTGCAGTTGTTGCCATTCAACAATGGAGTTTGTCTCAAATGGATGTGAAAAATGCATTTCTAAATAGAGACTTGACTGAAGAGATTTTTATGACCCCTCCCTCTGGATTATCTTATAGTTCTGGTCAAGTATGTCGCCTTCATCGTGCCTTATATGGTCTTAAACAAGCTCCTAGAGCATGGTGAGCCGAATTTTATTTGGTTATCTATGACTTGGGTTTTCGTGCTAGTGACCAAGATTCTGCTCTCTTTTTACGGTCTACTTCCTCAGGTTCTATTATTCTCTTACTATATGTTGATGATATGATTATTATGGGTGATGACACTGCTAACATCTGCTTATTGAAAACCCAGTTGTAGGATCATTTTGAGATGAAAGATTTGGGGCAGCGTAGATATTTCTTGGGTATTGAGATTGTTTTCTTTCCTAAAGGATATATTCTTTCTCAATCCAAGTATGCTTCAAATGTTATTGAACGAGCTCGTTTATCAGATAATCGGACAATTGAGACACCTTTAGAGCTCAATGTTCGTTATTCTTCGTCTGACGGTACTCACTTATCTGACCCAACCCTCTATCAAACTATTGTTGAGAGTTTAGTATATCTTACAGTCACTCATCCGGATATTTCTTATGCTGTTCACATTATGAGTCAATTTGTTACCTCACCCACCACCGTTCACTGGGCTGTTGTTCTTCGCATTCTTCGGTATCTCTGTGGTACTCTATATCAGAGTTTACTCTTTCCTCACTTTTCATCTATGGAACTCAGGGCTTACTCTGATATTGACTGGATTGGTAACTCTATAGATTGCAAGTCCACCACTGGTTTCTGCCTGTTTCTCGGGATTCTCTTATTTCTTGGAAAAGTAAGAAACAAACTGTTGTTTTTCGTTCTTCTGCTGAAGCAGAGTATCGTGCTATGACATCTACTACAACTGAGATAGTCTGGTTACGATGGCTCCTTGTTGATCTTGACATTTTGGTATCATCCCCTACTCCTATGTTCTGCGACAACACCAGTGCTATTCAGATTACTCATAACTCAGTCTTCCATGAGCGCACAAAACACATTGAGATTGATTGTCACTTTGTGCGTCATCATCTGCAACAGGGCACCATCACTCTCCCCTTTCTTCCTTCCACGATGCAGATAGTGGATTTTTTTACGAAGTTTCATTCCATAGCACATTTTAGATTCCTTCTTGGCAAACTCTTGATGTTTTCTACCACATCATGAGTTTGAGAGGGGGTGTTAGAGTATTCATAATAAGGGTAGTTTAGACATTTTCTTTATGTTGTGTTGCCCTACTATATAAGGGTTACTTTGTGTATTTTTAGGTTAAACTGTGCATTACAGGCTTCCTAAATGAATAATCTATTTTTCCTTTCTTTTCTCTATTCTCATTGATCAATTCTAACAAGATGGACCAAGTACTGCCAAGAAAAAAGAAGAGAAAAAGACTGACCAAGTTCAATGTGATTTCCCCAGCAAAGAGAACTTGTGTGGGGTCTGGGGCTGCTGTGTTTTGGCTGATAGATTTGAGCAGATTCTGTTAAAATATCATGTTCCCTTAATAGGATGTCCGGTTTGATGGTGTTTCTATTGCAAAGAGAGCCTGCATTTGATCTGGGGCTTCAGTGTTTAGGACAATGTATGCAGGCAAAATGCATTAGGCTTTTTCTGCAAAAATGGATAGGTTTGATCCAAGCGAATACCGACCGAACTTTTGACGTGTATTACATAAAGTTGCTGTTCTCATACGGAAAACCCTCACAATTCTAGAAGTTAAGTCTGTATCTAGTCCATCCTTCCTAGCATATTGCATGGTGACCATGAGTATACATTTTTTTGCAAACACATGCCCACTTCTTTCTAGAATCACTCAGAATTTCTTGAGTTGAAATTACTCCCTAATCCCTATTTTTTCAGTACAAGACAGGCTCAGGTGGGGAAGAGGGGAGGGAACATCAAGGTCCATCACCCGAGGCAACTAACATGGTGGTGGAGTGGTCACAATGTCATGAGACAAAAGGTGGGGCAAATGAGTTCTCCCAAAGAACAAATCCTATGAAATTGACAGACCCTGCAAGATTGGATCTCTGTACAACTACAGTTGAAGAGGGTTAGTGTGTCACATTCAGGGACAAACACAGGTTCTTCCTCTCTCTCTCTTTATCCACTAAAAAGATCACTTGCTCTTTTTCTCTTTTTTGTGTTTCCATTATTCATTTGGTGGGTCTGAGTAAAGGGATTTAAGATCTTATTATAAATGGGGAGCAAAGACAATCCCATTTGAAATGACCTTCTACCTTTTGATCTTGTAGAGCTTTTAGAGGTGACAAGCTTTTTCTATCCACTCCACAAGATCTTGTCGTTTTTTTTTTTTGGGTTAAAACCCTAGTGATTACTGGGAAAAATGATACACGATTTACGATTCTGCCTTGGAAGATGATTAATTTATTAGAATTTGTCGTTTTGTTTTGTTATCTTTCCAGACCACAATATCATTAGCTTACCAACTGAATTTTGCTTCCACTGTTTGCTTTTAATTGTGATAAGGTTCCTCCATTATTTACCCAGTGGTTCCACCATTACTTCCATTCTAGTCTCCCTAATTGTAGTTTTGAAATTCTCACTAAAGGTTCCTAAAGCCAAACTCCCATCAGTCGGCTTTCATTAAAGTTAAGAACATCAGTAAAAATATCCTTTTGGGCACTGGCGGGCATCTCCCAGCTCCTTAGTGGAGCATACTCTCGACACACACACACAATTTACCGAAGTTAATGGTGAAATTATCTTCTATCACTACTTGCATTTTTGGTTTGTTTGGTGGTAATACATGCTTAGTGTAAGGCAATATATATATATATATATAACAATCAAATTAAGTGGGAGGTAGCTTGAGAAGTTTTTTCTCCCACTTTTCTTTTTTATTAGAATTTTTAATTATTTAATTATCACTTAATCATTATGTTTCAACACATATCTCACGTAACTACTCCTCTTCTCACTAATTAACTATTCCTAATTCAATTTTTTTTTTAAAACTAGCCACTAATTTAAGTTTTTTAGAAATATAGTTTTACCATCATAACTTTACATAATTATTTTATCACCCTAATTTTTTTAAAATAATTTGTTATCCAACTTTTTAAATTGTATGATGACAATAAAAAGAAAGTGAAAGGTGGATGGCGTTGGGGGAAAGGGGATGTGTGCAATTTCAGTGCATCGAACAGAGCCAATTCTAGTGTTCTTATATGTGTATGTATTTACTATTATACAATAAACACGAACAAGAAAAATAAAAAAATGTGCAACAAGTACAAGATAAAGAAAAAATATTTTTTTAAAAAAACACTTAAAAGACATCACTTATGACCATGCCTAAGACAAAAGACAAAAGAAAGGAGAAACATTAGTTTTTACCTTTTAGGCGCATAACTAGTTTACCACCACTTAAATTTGTGAGGATGGGTATGGAGTTTTCTGTAAAACCAGCGGTCCAGGAAGAAACGATTGGGGTTACTGTACTGATGGTCATCACCAACCAACCAACCAACCAAAAACAACCAAACAGTACAGCATATAGTGATGATTAAGACTAGCTCCTTTTGAGTGGCAATTTCTGTTGCCAATGTGATTAATCTTTCTTTATTGACTCCACTTACTCTCAAACCAACCCTTTGTTACCACTTAATTAAGCTAAGACCCACATCATTCTTTTGAGGGGTCCGAATCTTCTGCTGTTAGATTTTTAGCAGCAGAGGTTCTGTTTCTCAAAACGACTGTTTTACACCAAAATTTTATCATTTTATTAAATATAACGACGCTGTTTTGGTGTGAAACAGTGTCGAACTCGGGGAGAGAGAGAGAGAGAGAGATTATGGACTAATGCTAGGAATCCCAGGTGGCTTTGGACCTTTGGATNGGCTCGTGTGTACATTTTTCTCATAAAAATCTAGGTTCCCGTTAGACCCACCACCAAATAATGGCACATCGCAATATGAGAAAATAGTAGTTAATGAAACAATATGAACTATGTATGTCCACAACAAGCCACAAGCTTTGTAAATATGTATATGGAAAACTACTTATTGATTTCAGGGGAATTATTTTCCTTAGAACCCACATACATACGAGTGCGAAGTTGTGACTTTTGACAACCCACCAGCCAGCTAGTTGCCCACATTGCTTAAACATAGTGGTCCATTTCCCTTCTACTTACTTTCATTTTCTCATTGACCCACCATTCATTCATGCATGCATAACACGTATACATGTATAAATTTTGTTTTTCTTCTCTCTCCACGCACTGGGATAAAGTTTGTATATATATTTAAGTTTATGATAAACCGGATTCGTCTCACCCCCTCGACTGACTTTTTTCGGTGAAGAGCTGCATTTTTCAAAATCAATCTATCAATTCTTGACCAGCTGAACCTTCGAGGTTTGATGTACTTAGATAAAATTATTAGCAAGAGGACGATTATTTGAATTTGAAATTATTGGAGAATTCATATTTTTTTCTTTTTCTTTTTCTTTTTTTCCGTATTTGTATTTCACAAGGGAAACACAAAAAATCACATCACCACGTGAAGTTTGACTTAATGATAAGTCCCTTGTGGATTCATAGTTAGGTTCCACCAATACGTACGTGGTCTGACTTTGTCAATTCATAGTGTAGTTACAACAGTGATTCCCACCTCTCTCTCTCTCTCTCTCTCTCTCTCTCTCTCTCTCTCTCTCNTCATCAGCTCCCAACCTGACTATGCTTGTAGATCAGTTACAAAAGTTTCTTTCTCTTCATCAGCCTAGTGCTCTCACAGTTTCTCCCACTATAAGTTCGTTCAGCTCAGGTCCTTTAGGTATTTCTTGAACTGCCTGAGTCTTTGACTCAGGTGCAACACATCATATGACCAGTGACTCCTCTTTGTTTGCATCTATTGTTTCTCTGTCCTTGCTGCCAATGGTTCTCACATGTCATTAGCTGGTGTTAGGACAATTATTTCTTCCAACATTATACTTTTCGATGTCTATTATATTCCTTAACTTATTTTGAATTTACTTTCAGTCAGTCAACTATTTGATTTTGAACTTTTAATTCATTTCTCTTCCTCTGGTTGTGTTGTGCAGGATCCTCGGTCCAAGAAGCTGATTGGGACTGGCCGTAGACAGGGCGGGTTATATGTGTTGGAGGAGTTGCATGTCCCAGTTGCTGATGCTGCTGCTTTTACTGTTGATTTATCTTCTTTTCGTTTGAGTCTAGAGTCATCTAGTTTTTATTTATGGCATTCTCGTCTTGGTCATGTTTCTTATTCTCGTTTAAAATTTTTAGCTTCGACTGAGAGTTTGGGTAGTTTAGAAAGCCATGACATTTCTGATTGTAGTGGATGTAAGTTGGCTAAATTTAGTGCGTTGCCATTTAATAAAAGGGTTACTTTTTCTATTGCACTATTTAATCTTGTTCACTTTGATATAGGGGGACCGGTTCCTATTCCTACACAAAGAGGGTCCAAATATTATGTTTCATTTATTGATGATTATACACGGTACTGTTGGGTATTTTTGATGAAACATCAGTCTGAATTCTTTTTTATCTTCACTACATTTCGTAACATGGTACGTACTCAATATTCTGCAGTCATTAAATGTTTTCTATGTGATCAGGGCGGTGAATATACTCTTACTTCTTTTCATGATCTGTTGAAATCTGGTGGTACACTTTATCAATCTTCTTGCACTGACACACCTGAGCAAAATGGTGTTGTCGAACGAAAACACCATCATATTCTAGAGACAGCACGTTCTCTTCTTTTANAAATTTCGTAACATGGTACGTACTCAATATTCCGCAGTCATTAAATGTTTTCGATGTGATCAGGGCGGTGAATATACTCTTACTTCTTTTCATGATCTGTTGAAATCTGGTGGTACACTTTATCAATCTTCTTGCACTGACACACCTGAGCAAAATGGTGTTGTCGAACGAAAACACCATCATATTCTAGAGACAGCACGTTCTCTTCTTTTATCAGCACATTTTCCCAGCTCATTTTGGGGGGAAGCAGTTTTGACTGCAGTTCATTTGATCAACACCNAAGTATATAATTTTCAACCCTAACCCTAATCCTAACCTGATGTCAACCCAAGGTATTCAACCGAGTACTATCCGAGTTTAATTCGGGCGAACTCGAACTGAATTTGAGTTACTTAATTCGGATTAATTTTGAATTAAAAATTGAGTTTAACTTAAGTTACTTAATTAAGGTTGATAAAAGAGGGGGGAGTGACGAGTGAGAAAGGGCGACCAAGAGTCTGAGATGTCTTAGATGAGTCACGATTGAGAGAGGGATGAGTGATGAGTGAAAAAGAGAAGCTGAGANGAGGTACACTTTATCAATCTTCTTGCACTGACACACCTGAGCAAAATAGTGTTGTCGAACAAAAACACCGTCATATTTTAGAGACAACACGTTCCCTTCTTTTATCAGCACATGTTCCCAGCTCATTTTGGGGGGAAGCAGTTTTGACTGCAGTTCATTTGATCAACACCATTCCTACTATGCTCACCTCTAGAGTCTCTCCATTTGAAAAGTTATGTGGTAAGTCACCTAACTATTTTTCTTTACATGTGTCTGGTTGTACCTGTTTTGTTTTACTTCCTAGTGTTCTTCGTACCCTAGTGGTCAAAAAGGGTATCGTTGCTATGATCCCATCACCCGCAAACTTTATGTCTCTCGTCATGTTGTTTTTATGGAGCATATTCCCTTCTTCTCAATTCCATCTAGCTCTTCCTCATTGAATAAGTCTGACCTACTATACATTGATCCCTTTCCTATCAATGTTCCTCATGATACATATGTTGGTGATATACCTGTGTCAAATCCTTCATTTTCTAAGTTAACTATTACTCGTCCCCTTATTGTGCATACATATGTTCGTAGGACTCCAGTTATCTCCTCTCCGAATGCAGTGTCTCCCTTTTCTTCTCCGGCTGCCCAATCAAGTTCAGACACTGTGGATCATACCCCACGCTATCCTCAGCGCTCTTGCAAATGTCCAGACAGGTTTGGTTGGAGTAATATTTGTTATTCTTCTGACTTTTGTTCTTTCCTTACTTCTAT